TCAAACCTCAGATGTTTTATCTTCAACCTCAGTCATGGACTTTTCTTCTACATCCACAAGTTTGTCTTCAACTAAATCAGGAGATGTTGCTGCTCCCTTTCCCTCCCCCTCCCACTTTTCTGTGTCTAGAAGTCAGGTGAAGAGGCAGCTAGAGAGACTGAACCAGAACAAGGCTGCAGGTCCAGATGGTGTTAGCCCCAGAGTCCTGAAGGCCTGTGCAGACCAGCTCTGTGGGATTCTGCAACACCTCTTCAACCTTAGCTTGACCCAGGAGAAGGTGCCAGTGTTGYGGAAGACATCCTGTCTGGTTCCAGTACCAAAGAAAACTCACATCAGCCCCTTTTGCTGTCTTTAATTCTCCTCTGTAACTTTTATTTCAGAGATGAACAAATATATTTTGTTCCTTAAACTATTGTATTCAAACAAATTTCTTTGAATTGTTTGGTTTTTCATTCTTTTTTCCCTCCCCAAACACAAAAAGTTGAACTCTGTATAAAGAACACACAGGATATGATTTAATTCAGATTTTTACTGTACACTTTTTGTACAGGAAGAATTCTCAGAAGATACAAAACCAAACCCAAACAGATTTCTGAAGACAAACATCAAACCCACAGAGTGATGCTGCTCTCATCTTGCACCATGAATCAAAACAAACTGCGAGTGATGAAGTAGCTTTGAGCTGATTTCGGTTTTCATTTACAAGAAAAAATTAATAATTTTCACCGTCAGCAACATGTCGGAGCCTTTCGACATTAGATGTCTGCAGGACGCAAGAACATAACCTGTTAGCGGTTCCAAATACCAAAAAGACAAAAACAAGAAAAAAAACATTAAAATACAATTTACAGTGACGGCCTGGAACTCTCCCGGACACAGGAAACACCAGGTCAGTGTTTGAGAAGAAATCCTTTCAAACCATTTCCTCTCAGGGTGAAGTGTTAAAATAAAATCACACGGATCAGAAGAAACGATCGTTACGACACGCCAACGTTCAGTTAGTCTCTGGTTTAGTGTTCAGATTACAGGACGTGTTCAGATTACAGGACGTGTTCAGATTACAGGACGTGTTCAGATTACAGGACGTGTTCAGTGAAGCTGTGTGGAGCTGAACAACGCTCACAGGTGGGTCCGTTCTTTTCTGTCAGCCTGGTCCTCACACTCCATGACTCTACAAGGTGAGGACTTGGTGCTAATCTGAAACGTGAAGCTGGAATTATCTGTGTGGTGCACCAGCGCCCTCTAATGGGCCCCAGCTGGAGCCCCGGTACCACCTGAAGGCCAGGTGGACCACCTGAAGCTGGACTCACTGGACAATCTGAGGCATTTCGCTCCAGGCTTTGGCCTTCTTTTTGGCCAGCGCCATCCAGGGGGGCTCGTCCTGAGGTAGAGCTGAGGGGGATCCAGCCGGTCTAGGGAGGTCTGGAGCTTTGAAATTAAACTTTTCCGCGGTGGTTCTGGATGGGAAAGGAGGGGAGGTGATGGGGGAGGTTTGGGCTGGGCTGGTAGGTTTGGAGAAGGGTATAGGGGTTATGAAAGGAAGACGTTTTGAGGGGACGGGGATGGGAGAAGATGGGGACGTGTCAGTCTGGAGTGGCTTTGCTGTGACGGGGGACCCCTGTGGTTTGGTCGTGACGGGGGACCCCGGTGGTTTGGTCGTGACGGGGGACCCCGGTGGTTTGGTCATGACGGGGGAAGGAAGCAGCTGGGATCTCAAAGGCTGAGGAGGAACGGGAGCTGGAGGACAGAGAACCCTCCTGGTCTCCTTTTCCACAATCACTGATGGTTTCCTGCTCTCTGGAGGAGAAAAATAAAGAGAACAAGAAGAAAACTGTTGCAGATTATCAGGACCACTGGAATAATCAAATAAAACCGAGTCAGGATGACAAAACTTAGAAATGTTTTTTTTAAAAATCTACTAAAAATGCTCAGAGGGAGTTGTAGTAGCACAGAGTGGCCACATGAGGGCAGCATCAGTTTAACATCTGTCTACGTGTGAGCCTACAAAGTTGTACTTTTGTGTATTTGAATCAACTCTTCAAGAGTTCAAACGTTTTTCAGAACACTTTCAAATGATAATAAAATTAGTTTGGAAAAAAGACAGAAACTGAACAGGAAGTGTAAAACCTTCAGAGTATGTTTGACTGAAATATGGGTGTGACGTTATCATACGCCGAGTTAAACATTCTTGGATAAAATCTGCAACATTTATGAACTCTAACCTCTGCTTCTGTTAAAATCTGTATGAAACTGGATGTTTTTATTGTAAGATGTGTCTGAGCTACAGAGCTCTTTTCAGCAAAATCCCATCTTTTTTGTCTAAACCGTACAAGAAACTGATGTAAAATGTGTCAGCAGTGTGACATGCCTATCCTTCAACATACAAAACATCAAAGAAGACATCTTTGTTAAGAAAATTGGCATAAAATACATGATTTTACACATTTTGTCTCATAACTGGCCTATTTTCTTTTGGATTTGGCTCAACGTGAAACAGGAAGTGACATCAAAGGGGAACTCTTTCATTTATAATATCTGATCTTTGTTTATTAAAACATTATTCAAATTTCAACTCTTCTTCATCTCTCTTTGAAACTCAAAATAATCTAAAGAAACATCAGGTTCTTCTCTACAGTCTCTGTTATTAGCGGTTGTAGCAACGATCTGTTCACATGCAGACATTCCCCTATGACATCACTTCCTGTTTCTTTACAGGCAAATATCTCAACAACTGTTCATCTCAGCGACATGAAATTTGTTTTGCAATATTTTATCAATGTCCTCTTTCCAAAAACATGTTCATGTTTATTATAAAACATTGATGTCACAGGCACTTTAACACACCATTCATTATGTGTTTTCCACAGCACTGACCTGTGGTCTCGCTGGTTTTGTTCTGGTTCTCTCTGCTTCCAGCTCCATAGGGTAAGGACTTTCTCTCCTGTTCCTCCTGATGGTAAAAAGAAGCTTTACTGTTTGTTAAAAGGTCAAATCTTTTTTTTTTTTGTTTAGCACCTTTAAAAAAGTTTTAAAACAACTTTAAACCTGTTTAAAACCCAAACTGCTTCACAGTTCAGCCAAACTAAAAACTAAAATCTACGGACCTTTCTCACAGTCTTCTCCTCCAGAGAGTTTTCTTTGTAGATCTTCTGTTTCTGTTTGGCCACAGAGATCCAGCTGGGAGGATCCGGTCCACCAGCAGCTCCTCGGCCTGCAGGTGGTTCTGAGTCCAGGACAGAGCAGAAAGTCAGAGCAGGTTTGGATCTGGGCAGACCATCAGACAGTGGTGGGACTTCAGAACAGACCTGAGATCCGCCTCAGTTTCCCTCCGGCGTCTCCGTGGACCTCTGGTTTTTTAGGGACAGCAGGTCTGTTGATGTTCGGACCTACAGAGGGTTTGGTGCCGACCGGCTGAGGTGAGTCCAGTTTACACACAGTTGGAGACTGGACTGGAGACTGAACGAGAAGATAAAACTTATTCTGACTCTTTAAATTTGTTTTACTTGTTTGGTTTCAGTTTTTTTCTTTTTGTTACCTCTGAAACCTCCTCCTCTGAGTTGAAGCGAAGCAGAGCTGAAGTTTTCCTCAAACGGACTCCAAAAGGGTTCTCAGGATTTCCATCAACCAGAACCGAGCTCTCTGCAGAACAGAACTTCAGTTAATATTGAACACTGTAAAACTTAAACAGTAGTTTTGAATTGTCTTGAGCAACAGTTTGTGTGTGAAAACTATAAAACTAGTTGATGGTTTGTTTGCTCGAGGACGTACAAACAACAAAGTTTCTTCTGGACAAGAAGCTTCCAAAGTCACCAAAAAGTCAAGAACAAAACTTTCAGGATGTCCTCATGGTCACCACTTCTACTTTGCTCTGTTAACCACACCCACTTCAAGATTCTGACCAATCACATGACAGTTAGTAAAGTAAGTAAAGTAAAGTTTTATTTATATAGCGCCTTTCACAGAAATAAATTCTCAAGGTGCTGTACATTCAGGTAAGGGGGGAGGGGCCAGTTAAGAAGCACCCATTCAAGAAGACATACAAGACGAACATGGGGGAACAGGTGAAACCGGTCATGCAGCAAACACAGTTGTGCTACCTTTAACAACAGCTTGAAATACACAAAAGGAAAATTGAGTTAACAACCCACGAGAGAGCAAGATAGCCTGGGGTGGGGGCTTAGGTCAGATAACACATAAAGGGGAGGTAAAAATGGGGCGGGTTCAGAGGAGTAGGTGACATTGAGGGAGTGGGGGTCCGTGCTAGGCCCAACCCTGGGCCAGGGTCTAGAGTCCCATGATGTTATTGTCTCTACTCAGTTTGCTAGAGTTCAGAGGTTTTCCTCCTCCTCAGCCAATTGAGTTCCAAGGTCGGGTCCAACATAGGTGATGGGAGTGGGAGCAAATCCAGCTCTTAGTTGACATTTCATCCTGGGGAGGTTAAGATAGGCACTGCCCTCAAGGCTGTGCCGCTGGGAGCCAGATAGCTAATCCAATTGTTTTGGAACAAAGCAACCTTTAAATTCCTGCTGCTTTTTAAAGTGTCTTTACTGCAACTCTGAGGTGGTGAAAAAAGCCAATCAGCTGAATTTGGGGTCTTCCTCGCCTCTCACCAATTGAAGCTCACCCAGAATGTAGTCCATACATGCCGAAGGGTCACTGCTGAGTTGTGATCCTCAGAATCACATCCAGTTTGCAAATTTTCCCCCAGCTGAGAGTCTGTGTGCTTCCAGCCCGGCAGAATCCTTCAAGTGCACCGGAACAGCTCTTCAAGGCCCGATCCACTGTCAGGGTCACTTTCACTTTTCGATAAATCTGGAACCCTCCTCCGCCGATCAGCAAGAATCCAGTTATCATAATCCAATTAAATAAAGATCTTCCTTGTCTTCAATGGAAAGTGGTGCTGGCATATCAGATTCCAGCCCCAGGAATCAGACAGATCCAGCAGCAACCATTCCACCCAGACAGCCATGTTCCCCTCGTTCCAAGTACAGAGAAAAAAATAGTGTCAATTTCATTCAGAGTCCAGTTGACCAAATCCATAATTCCTTTAGTTTCGGTTGGAAGGTGAAAAAAGAGCTCGGAAAAGCAAAAGCAGCGAGGCGGGGTGTGTGTGTGTGGGGGGGTGGGGTGTCAGAGAGACAGTGAAAGCACCTCTGAAGGCCAAGCAGAAAAAAAAAGTTGTCGTATAGCTCACAGGATGTGTCAAGAGAGCAGAGTTTTCCTGCTTCTGGTGGTCTGTAGCAGCTCTTGGTGCTCAGAGGGTCTGGTTAGGGTTATCAGCTTTACTCAGTTTACTTCTTTTATTATTTCTCACATCTTTGCTTCTATCTCTGTTTCACCTTGTTTGTAACAGAAAAGCCCTCTGCTCAACCACTGTTTTTATAAAAATCACACACATTTTGTGTCCATGGCGCTTTATGACTGCTGATATCATTTTAAAGTATTAAATCAGATATAATGATCTGTTACTCAGTACTCACATCACCTTATTCTTGAGTACAACACTTAGGTAGCAGACTTTGCTTACAAATTAAAATCAATGTCACTTTCTGTACAGTACAAAACAACAGCAGTTGACCAAAGCTCTTCACAATTTACACCATCATAGCTAAAATGATTAAAACAATACAAAAAATAAAACAGATATTCACAGAAAACAGAAAACAAGTTGAGTAAAAGCATCAGAGAAACAACAACTCTAGCTAACTCTAACTCAAACTCTAGCTAAAGCTCTAGTTAAAGCCAGTGAAAACAGTTTTTAAAAGAGTTTTAAAAAGTGGAAGCAAAGACGTTTGTCTAATGTCAGAGGCAGGTTGTTCCAAAGTTTAGGTGCCACAGCTGAAAAAGACTCGTCTCCTCTGATCTTCATCCTGGTTTTTGATGCAACCAACAGCAGATCAGTGAAAAGAGCCAGTGAGAGGACACAACTGGTGAAATGTGTTCAAACCTACCAGATCCTGTTAAAGCAGAGCTGCAGCATTTTGATCAAGCTGCAAATGTGAAAGTGAGCCTTGACTAACCTCAACATAAAGTGCAACAATACTCAAGACTTGTTGTTAGGAAGGCATGAACTACTTTCTCAAGGCCAGGGGTCAGATTTATAAAGCTTGCGTATGCACAAAACGAGCCCAGAAACTTTTTTATTCAACTTTATCATCAGCTTTCTTAACAGTATTATTAATGCTTCTGCTGCTGAGCCAGAAGGAGCTTTGAAATAAAAAACTTAAATCTTAAATAAAAGTTCACACATCTCCATCCTCCTCATGACCCTGACCCACAGACCCCTCCCCGACAAGAGACATTTCAACAGAACGACACCAAAAGTCCCACTTTGGGTATCGTGCAAGACGTGCCCCTCGCCAGCGTGGATGTTATAAAAAGGCTGTGTGGATGTGAGTGGGTGAGGAGACAGTAAGCTGCAGATAACAGAGCAGGCAGGAGGATGGGGGAGAAGAGTGGTGAACTTATTTCCAACTTTATCTGACTTATTTAATTTTATTTATTGTTTTTATCGTCCTGCAGGCTCTGAGAGAAAATTAATTTGAAGCTGAGTTTTTGATAAAAATCATTAGATTACTCTAAATGTCTGTAAACCTGTAAAATGAGGGAAAATCTGTGTCAGTTACAGACATTCTGTTCACGTGAGCAGCTGTCAGTCAGCACCTGTCATCTTCCAGACGCATGACGGAGCGTGTCTGAGCCAATCACTGATCAGATGACTGATTTAAATACATCTCAATATTCATGAGGTACTTTACATTGACTGTTTATGACTGAGTGTGGGCGTGTAGAGGGTAGAACCTGAGGCGGGACCTTGTGCACAAACTCTGAGGTGAAGCCGTGATCTATAAAGGAAACATGCGTACGCACGGTTTTATAAATCTGAATTTTTTTTGGCGTATGCCGTTTTCGCCTTTTGGCCATACGTTCACTTTTAGTATGGTTTCCACACAATCCTTTATAATTGAGGCCCCAGATCTGGTTAAAACAGGCTTCAGTTTGTCTGCCTCAACTGGAAGACATGTTTTTGACAGAGTTGATCTGCTAATCAAACTAAAAATCCAAAATCATCCCCAGGTTAGAAACAGACTATTTACGATTCTGCTCAGGAGAGCCAAGGTTCACAGGAAGAGATCCTGACATAGAACTAGGGCTGAACAAAATCATTTCACTTTTATCATTAAAATTTATGAAAACGATGCCATCCAGGGCTGAATGTCATCCAGACATTTCAATAGAGGATTTCTAGAACTATTTTCACGTTTCAGGGGCATAGAAATCTGACAATCATCAGCGTAACAATGAAAGGAAATACCCTGCTTTCTCATAATAGACCCCAGTAGATGAAAATAAAAGTGACCCTAGAATCGAACTCTGCGGGACTCCACATGTAAGAGATGCTGAAGTGGTAAAAAAGTTTCCAACGTTTAGAGCAAATTGTCTGTCACTCAAGTAAGAGCAGAACCACTCTAACAGTAGCTGCGTTTCCATTGCAAATGTGCGCAAAACTTTGTCGATATTCTGTTAATGTCAAACAAACAATTTCGCAACTGCGGTGTTTCCACTAAGTAAGAAATGCTTTTAAAGTCACGTGTGAATATGTTTGTTCTCGCGATAAGTCATTACAAACATGGCGGCGATGGATGTAAATGCATAGCATGTTGCTACCACGACACTAGCGTTCATCATCAGAGGAGACGTCGGCGTCTTTTATCGAGGCTTTCCAGAGACAAGTCCCTACTTGGGAGGGGCTACGTATGCTGTGTTTTTGGGAAATTGTAGTCGGTGAGTTTACTACTTTATACTACTTCTGTGATATTACTACTACTTCTACTTCCTGTTATCTTCTTCGTCATTGTCTTTTTCACCAGTAGAAACAACAAGTTGTTGATCATGTGACTCCTGTGATGTGAAAAAAGTGTTTCCATTGCAGTTTTGCGAAAAACACCAATTTCGATACGGCTGAAATACCACCTCATCCTAGTGCAAAAACATTTTGCCAAAAAACAAATTTTTTTTTCGAAACTGACGTGTTTCCATTGAGCAAATTTATTTTCGAAATTCTAATTTGCGCATTTTCATGGTCAATGGAAACGCAGCTGGTGCTCCCTACACAGTGTTCCAACTGCGATAAAAGGATATTGTGGTCAACAGTATCAAAAGCTGTGGTAAGGTCCAGCAAGACAAAAACCACAAACTGACCAGAGT